AACATGGGATTGAACCTTAAAATCTAGACTACTATTTGTAGATAGGGAAACAGCCAGCCATGCACAGTATAAATCATCTTACTTCGACTTGGTATTTTTCACCTATTTTAAGCAGAATAAGGCTTTATTACCCTCCGAAAGTCCGGCAGAGTTAGCAAGTGTTGGTGAAGATGCCAAGGTAACTAAATTCCTGCCAACACTATGCCTGAATTTATCAATAAGACAGTCTACTATATTTCTTTTCTATTTAGTTTAAAAATAAAAGGGCATGCACCATAATTTATTCATATATTTCTTTTCTATTTAGTTTAAAAGTTTTGTCCAGTATTTGTCTAATATCGCAAAACCTTATAGTTCTGTCCGCAGGAACTATATCAAATTTTATCTCATCGACATTTGCTTCGTCACGGGTTACGTTCTTTGTACGTCTCAACAACAAAACTATATATATCCACAATTCAAAACTAATACTCCCTCCTATTTTTAATAAGCGTCAGTTTTGAAAAAAAGATAAAGAGTGAATATGAAAAGATCGACCTAGTATATTTATTAGCTAGATGAGAGTAATAATGAAACAATATGTACAAAAGATCAAAAACGTCATTTGTTTAGTTAATTATTGATCAAATCAAAATGACATTTAAAAAAAAATAGGAGGTAGAAAAAAAAAAAGAAAAAACACCCCAGTCCAGTATTAATTAGACTTGATATTTACCCAATAATCACAAACTCGAAGGTGAATTTCGTATTTTAAAAAGGTTGTATCACAGTCAGCAAAAAACAATTGGGGCCGTTGATGTAATTAAAGTAAAGTTGTGGGGTCAACAGTTTTACAGGAGCATCATGAAGCGAAAGAGCGCGGGCCGTTGGATGAAGGACCAGCGGGAAAGGAAGAAACAGGAGATACGGGCCCACAACGCCCACCTCCACGCCGCCGTCTCTGTGGCCGGCGTGGCGGCCGCCGTGGCCGCACTGGCCGCCGGAAAACAGGGGGTGGCGACGCCGGCGGCGGTGGCATCGGCGGCGGCCGTGGTGGCGTCCCATTGCATAGAGATGGCGGAGGAGATGGGGGCCGAACGGGAGCACATACTGTCGGCGGTCAACTCTGCGGTCAACGCAAGGACAAATGGTGACGTCATGGCCCTCACTGCAGGGGCGGCTACAGGTATTGTATGGTGACGTCATGGCCTTAGCTGCGTCTTTTCTGCTAAGCCCACACACTAATTATTTATGTCTTGCGATGTTGATTTTTGCAGCTCTTAGAGGCGCGGCTACGCTAAGGGCGAGACTACAGAACGAGCATGGGCCCGCAACAATTACCGAGAATTTTCGGAAGAATAATGTTTCGCTCTCGCTAAATTTCGTCTCAAAAGGCGGTCAGCTTCTCAAGCGCACTAGGAAAGGTAAAACCAAAAAAAAAGTTAAATAGTGAGATTGGATTGGAGTGTAGCTAGTTATAGTTAGTGAATGACATTTGTGGTTGAAAATGCAGGGGATCTGCACTGGAAGCAAGTCTCTGTCAACATAAATTCAAACTGGCAGGTCAAAATAGAGCATGTGCTTTGGCTTAATTGCACAGATATATTTCCTTTTCATGTTAACACAACAAATGAAAAAAAAAAGAAAAAAAAAAATCAACTAAACTAAAAATGAAACAGGTGGTGGCTAAAATGAAGAGCAAGCACATGGGAGGGACATTCACTAAGAAAAAGAAATGTAAGTTAGATAGGACAACAAAGCCGTAATTATTTGGTGCTTAAAATTAACTACAAAATATTTTATTCGGCCACTGCAGGCGTAGTTTCAGGTGTATACAGTGATGTTCGAGCATGGCCTGGACGAGAAAGCGAGGGTAAGGAGGAGATGTCGTACTTTGCCGTTCAAACAGAAGAAAGAGTAATCGAGTTCGAGTGCAGGAACAAAGGAGAGAAGCAGATGTGGGTTGAGGGCATCCAACAATTGTTGCACTTAATTTGCATTTGATTTGATTTTAAACGTTTCTTGAAGTTGGCGGGAAACTGGTGATGAGTTGGCAAAAAAAATGGATCTTGATTTTATGAAATAATAGAATATTGTGTTGATAATAAATTGATGTACAACGAGAATGGATATGTGGGCACTCAATGTGTGAAATTTTCTTGTACCGAAAAAAAAAAAGTGTGAAATTGTCTGATACTGGTTTTATATGTTGGGTCTTGAAAATTATTAGGCTTTGGTTCAAATATGTTAAATAATTTTGTTGGAATTTGTGGGTCAAAGGATATATTTATTGATGGCCCAAATATTCAAATTCTCTGGCCCAATCTCTTTGGCCTGAGCCTAGCTTTGGCAGCCCACATGATCTAACAGATTTAGACCGTTCGTACATAATTGACCCTATCTTGACCGTCTAATTTTTTTTGTTTTCTTTTTTACCTATTACCCTAAGTAATTTTCTTAACATTAGCAGCCATTAGAATAGCCCTAAGAGTTTGAGACTCCCACGTAGCTATCTCCCTTTAACAGAATTGAGAAGTTTCAGCCACTTTGAAAAAATTGAATAGCTACTCCTATACAGCTTTTAAAAAACCCCGTCCCATATTTTGTTCACTGACTAGTGCCCGCTCTCTTCTTGTTTTTGGTTCTGTGTCTTGTGATTCGATCTCTGTTATCTTATTGAATCTTTGTGATTATGAGATTGTGAGTGTGTGAGAGTCTTCAGTGTGTGAGTTGAGTTAGGTTGTGAGGAAATTTTGGGGGTTTCGGGTATTGGCTGTTTTTCGGGCTGAGCTTTGTACGACGGCCGGTGGTGTTACCACTGGGCTTCCAGTACCGGAATTATTGAGGCCAAGGGTCCATTGATCGGCTCTTTGTCGGCTATACGGTGACTCATTTTGTGGGTTTGACATAAGGGGACTGAGCCTACTCCATTTAAACCCACCATCGTGGAATTAATGGGATTCAGGCCTCATTCAAGCACTCGGCAAAAGGGTGTACTCGTTCCAATTTTACATTATTTATTTTTTCAGCATTTTCAATTTGTTTAAGCTCTTTGATTGCTAAAATTTAATTGTTTATTGTTAATTTTCAGTTTCGGCTTAAACCGGACAAACCGGGACGAGTTCGGGATCGAAAGGTTGCAGTTCGGGGCCGACCGGGAGCTGTCCGGGTCCTATCGGGGATGTCCGGTGCCTGTTGGTTGCTATCGGAAGCCTACCGAGTGCTGCTGGGGCCTAACGGGTGCTGCGGGACGAACCAGCGACTGTTCAAGATTATTCGGGGCCAGCCTGGGGCCGGCGAGTCGAGCCAGACAACCACCCAACATTGGTATCAGAGCCTGGCTCTTGCCTGGTCATCTGCTCGCCGCCTTAGATAAGTCGAGTTCCTTTTCGTATGGCTCACTTAGGTAAATTGGCTTGAACCCACCTTTTACTTCTTTCGTAGTTGTAGCCCCTGGCCGGGGATTGCTTGATGGGAACATGCTGGTAGATTTCTAGCTAGGATCTTTGTGATTTGTGTGTTTTACCACTTTGCTGGAGGTTCCAGCCGCATGCTTATTGGATTTATCGCTTTTGTAGCGTTATTCCGCTGTGCGTTATTCGCTCTGTGTAACTTGCCGTGTGGGTTTGTTACTGTGTGTTTTGTATCTGTGCTCTTTGGCGTATTTTTCTATGTGAAATTTTGCTTTGTGTGAAAACTTGTGTGTTTTTAGAAAATAGGATCCGCTTCAGCTCTTAGCTTAGTCCCGTTTGATGGAAAATCTGATTTTGCCATTTGGCAGCAGAAAATGAAAGGTATTCTTGTTCAGCAAAAAGTGTTTAAAGCTATTGACCTTTCTCATTCTGCGAATGTGTCGGCCGAGAAAAGGGCCGAAATTGATGAGTTTGCTTATGCTTTGATTATTCTGAACTTATCTCACTCTGCGTTAAGAAAAGTTGGTAAATTGGACGCTGCTGAAGAACTTTGGGAAAAATTGGAGGAACTTTGCACTGAGACTTCCTTGCCAAATAAGTTGTTTTTACTTGCGAAGTTTTTCTGCTTCAAACTAGATTGTCCAAAGATGTGGATGATCATTTGGATGTGTTTACCAAACTTGTTCGGGATATTAAGCAAACTGGTGATAAGCAAATTGATGATTATACCCCTATTGTGCTCTTGAATGCTATACCTGATTCTTACAGTGATGTGAAATATGCTATTAAGTATGGTAGAGATAATGTGAATCTTGAAACTGTTGTGAATGGTTTGAAAAGCAAAGAGTTGGATTTGAAAACCAACAGGGGTAATGAGAATGTCGGTGAGGTTAATTTTGTGAGGGGAAGGCCTCAAAATCGTTTTCAAAATGAAAATCCTCTGGTAGATCAAAATTTTGTTAAAAAGAAGGGTACGTGGAAAAGTAGGTCGAAGTCTCGACCGAAAAACCATAAGTATTATAATTGTGGTGAAATTGGTCATTACAAGAATGATTACCCTAATCCCAAGCAAAACTAGCATAATGATCATGCGAATATATCTAGTACTGAAAACCTTGGTGATGTGTTTTATGTGAGTGAAGTGCATGATAATTGTTGGGATCTGTGAGGATCTCGTTATGCACAAATCACGAATTCAATAGCAAACGTAAACCTATGCGCAACAGATCTAAAGGTTTGACGTAGAGAACTTATGACTTAAAATTTTTGGCGATCTGACTGATCTTCCGGATGACCGTTCACAACACACGAACAAATCAGATCACACGAACGAAAGTCTCGGGATCGCGTGAATCGGGTCGGATCGTGTGGGTTGGATGTCCGGGTAAGTCGCGCCTCGCAATCGGGCGGCCGGGCTTCGCGGGTCGTGTCGCGATCTCCTCGGCTCATCACGGCGGCGCTCCATCGGCTGTCGTGGGCTCACGGCGGAGGTCCTGGGCTCACGGTGGTCGGCGGTTGGTCGGTCCTCGGGCTCAGGCTCTTGGATCGTCAATTGCTTATAGATGATCACGGATCTCAATTACCTATGGGTCTTCTACTGTATTACTCACTCAATTTACCTCCCCACGTTTAAGATATAATGTCCATTAATTAATTCGATTACTGACAATCAAGAATTAATTTATTTATTATTATTTCACCGAAGTTAGCGCTCGTTCATCACATTCTTATTATGCCGGAATTTAATCCACCTGCAGGGTTTTGCATAACAATCCTTCATGAACTCACTCTGGGGACATCATCAAACTAACGCACATGGTGACCGTAAATATCTTAACAACACATCCTATATATAGTAATATTACCCAAAAAAGTAGGAATATTAATCCAGCGAACTGAACTTCACCCAAGTGAATCAAAGTAATATATACTATATATATATCTGTCTGTTTAATATCTTACGGGTTAAGAGAACGCAGTAATTAACCGAGGCCTAGTTCATTTACGACAATCAGTATAAAATGAACTTCTCCTCTATGGGATTCGGTTCAATACATAAATGTACTAATGCAACTAATCAGTCAATACAAACTGTACAGTTGACACTACAACCGTTCGGATGGGGTGTTCATGTCCATCTAGGTTGTGAACAACTATTCTTGTTCGCAAGTAACTGGTAGAGTGATCTTTGGTTCGCCCGATGACGACCCACTCTATCTTAGTGGAGAACAACAGAACATAGAATTTGTTTAATCTAATATGATTCTCATTCATGAAGGGAAAATGTGTAATAACATGTAAAGTCAAACTTTCAGTATATAACACTAACAATTTCCCACTTATACTCAAAGCTTTCGCTTTTACAGTATAGTCCTATCAATCCGTTATCTTGGCAACATCAACGTCTTCTTTACCAACGATATCTTGAATCAGATGGTACTTGCGCTCTATGTGTTTGCTTGCTCTGTGGGCTCGAGGTTCCCTTGAGTTTGCTACTGCTCCACTATTATCACAGTACACGGTGATAATTCGTGGCAAACTCGGTATCACCTCTAAGTCCAATCAGAAGTTCCTGAGCAGAACTGCCACTTTCGCTGCCTCTGAGGCTGCTATGTACTCGGCTTTCATGGTGGAGTCTGCCACGCATTTCTGTTAAGCACTCCTCCATGAAATAACTCCACTTCCCAAGGTAAACACATAACCTGAGGTTGACTTACTTTCATCTCTATCTGTCTTGAAATCGAAATCACTGTAACCCAGAGGTAACAAGCTGTCTGCACGGTAAACTAACATGTACTCCTTAGTCCTTCTCAGGTACTTGAGTATATGCTTCACCACAGACCAATGTTCCCGTCCCGGATTACTTTGACATCTAGCTACCATGCCAACGGCGTAGCTAATATCCAGCCTAGTGCACAACATCGCATACATAAGACTTCCTACTGCCGAAGCATAAGGAACTGTCTTCATGTCCTCTATCTCCTCAGACGTCTTAGGAGAAATCTCCTTAGATAGAGGTATTCCATGTCTGAAAGATAACATTCCTTGTTTGGAATCCTGCATGTTGAATCTGGCCAAGGCAGTATCTATGTATGAAGACTGGGATAAGCATAACATTCTCTTCTTACGGTCTCTAATGAGCCTAATACCTAGAAGGTGTCCCGCTTCTCCTAAGTCCTCATATCAAACTGCTTAGACAACCACACTTTTACGTCTGATAACTCCTTCTTACTGTTTCCAATAAGAAGTATGTCATCTACGTAAAGCACAAAAAACACCACCACACTCCCACTGATTTTTTTGTAAACACAGTGCTCATCCGGATATTGAGTGAACCCGTACGACTATATCACCTCGTCAAAATGGATGTTCCAAGATCTTGAAGCTTGCTTTAGTCCATAAATAGACTGATTAAACTAGGCACTAGATGCTCACGACCTTCAGCAATGAATCCCTCTGGTTGTTGCATATAGATGTCTTCTTGAAGGTTCCCGTTAAGGAAAGTCATCTTGATATCCATCTGCCAGACCTCATAATCCATATGGGCGGCTACAGCCAAAAGAATCCGAATGGACTTAAGCATAGCTACTGGCGAAAAGGTTTCATCATAATTAATACCCTCGATCTGGGTATAACCTTTCGCAACAAGCCTAGCTTTGAAGGTTTGCACCTTCTCATCCGATTCTCTCTTTCTTTTATAGATCCACTTACATCCAATGGGTCGTACCCCAACGTGTGGTTCTACAAGATCCCAGACCTGATTGGAGTCCATTGACCCCATTTCAGGTTTCATTGCAACATTCCATGAATCTGCATCTTTATCTTGGAGTGCCTCATCGTAAGTTCTTGGGTCTGATTCTAGGTCTCCTGGAACTCAGTCCGATGACT